TTGGCGCCTGGAATTAATCCGATCAATTCCTCAGAGCACTCCCCGTGGAAGATGCGATATAAAATACAAAACTCCCTTCGCAGCTTCATTTAGCTGGAAAACTAGTGATCCAATTGCACAATTTCTCGGGAAGTCCATAAGATGCAAGCTTCGACAGAATCGCTTTGTGCCTAATGCGATCGAAGACCTTCGCTATGTCCAAACTAATCGCCAAGGCTTTCCCTTTGGACTCGAAAGCCGGTGCCCATTAGTGTATAAGGTAAACTACCGTCTTATCAGGAGAGATTACTTACATTTGGAGTTTCATCACTGCGTAATAGACGTGCTATACAAAACATTCTTTGCTTACATAAACGAATACACTACAAAATTGTTTTCCCAAATCCTTTATCCCAAATCAATTTTAATATTAAGTCGAATCCCAGGCGTCGTCTTAACACGTTTATATTAAACGTCTGTAAGAACAATACTTCATTTTACAATTCTTTAACACGAATGTGTCGCTCTTATTAGTTATGATATGGTTCTGACGGAGTCAGGCAAGGACATTGATGTCTTTAACAATATGATGTACCTATTTAATAATATAAATAAGCTTCGCAATCAATTAACTGTCCCACTACTTCAAGTCAACTCCACAATAATTATTTATCGTCTTAATAAAACTTTCACTAAATTGTCATAAAATTTGTTAAATTTATAAATTGTATTTTTAGTATAAATATATATATATATATATATATATATATATATATATATATAATATATATATATATATATATATATATATATACATAAATATGTTTACGGATAATGCAAGTTGCAACTGTATGTACGCGTTTTTGATTTGTATTCCAGTTCAAAACTTTATATATAATAGGTATTTACGTTACGTAAAAGTGAATATAAACTGTTGTGTACATCTAATAAATAAATAAATAAACACGAAGATCATCAGTTGAATGACCCCGACGTGGTGGTGTTTGGTGGGATTTCTATAAACAAAAAGCAGATAAAAGAGGAGTTTTTTTATTTTATTTTTTATTTAATTTATACATATACAACATACACAGTCATTACAGGATGAGCACCCTAATACGGCAGTGTAGCCAACGATACAATACCATATGCCACTCTACTGAGCTCACTCAGCGAACATGAAAACAAATCAGTTCGCTTCGACATGGCGTTGATCACAAGCAGCGCACGCGAACGGCGCCCGCTGCCTTCAACGTGTACATAGCGAAAGCTACTTCTCTTCTGACTTCGAGCTTGTAGTATCCTACCATACCGAGCAAAAATAGAGTAGGATACAACAAGGAATAGCCCGGGTATATTCTAAATAGTTTCAAATACATGAATCTAATAAATTTATTTTGGATCCGCTCTAACATAAATTTGTATTTGACTTCATGAGGAGCCTAAATGACGGCGTTACGTCTAAGTGGCTCCATACGAGTGCATCATATAGCGCTCTCAGAGCCCTGACGTTTGTGAAATTATTTGCAAGACGCATTATCAATCCGAGATTACGGTATGCTTTTATACAAATATTACTTACATGTAATCCGAAATTTGAGCCTGCAGTGAAACGTATACCTAGATCTTTAACCTCCGTAACTCTATGTAGCATTTTCCCATCCATCACGTATTGGTGATGAATTGGAGCGCGTGAGTGATTAAAGGACAGCACCGAGCATTTAGAAACATTAAAGAAAAGTTTATTATCAATGTTCCATCTTAAAACTTTATCAATATCATGCTGTAAAAAGACACAATCGGAGATATCTCTAATTTCTAAAACTAATTTTACTCGACTCGTGCTCGTGCTCAACCCAAATGAGTTCAGTGTTTGCCATAGCACATCCCTATCCACTCTGTCATAGGCCTTTTCCAAGTCCATGAACGCACAAAAAACCTTTTGGTTTTTGGCCAAAAAACTTCTCCGCGAACATGCGCATGGAAAAGACTTGATCTGTACATCCCATTCCTTTTCTAAATCCCGCTTGCACATCCCAAATTTTTCCATCAGTTTCTTTCATGACCCTTTCAATCAGTACCTTAGCATACAGTTTTCCCACAATGCTAAGAAGGCTGATGCCACGGTATTTTTTACAGTCCCGCTGCGACCCTCTTCCTTTATATACTAGGACTATCACGGCTTTGCACCAGTCTTCAGTTCCCAGCATAAATTAAACAAGGTGTGCAGCAGGCCTGCCACCATTTCCTCTCCAGCCCTTAGCATTTCGAGTGAAACTCTATCATATCCGGCAGCCTTACTTGATTTCAAGCTTTTCATTGCTTTCATTATTTCATCTATACTTATCTCGCTACCTCTTTCCTCTTCTTTCGGTGTTTCTACTTCACTTAGTACACACGTTGTCTCCTCACTCATAAACACGCTTTCAAAATATTCCTTCCATCTCTTTAAACTCAAAACTTCATCATTCAGAATATAGCCATTCTGGTCTCTTATAGCATTCATCATAGGCTGTTTTGAATGTCCCCTGGCAGTTTTTACAAGTTTCCAGAACATTTTAATATTTGCCTGGAAGTTATCCGATATTCTTCTATCATTCTTATCCGTTCTTTCTTGCTTCTTACTTTCAACTACTTCTTTTACTCTCTTATTAAGATGTCTAAAGATTGCCCTTTTTCTTTCAATATCTAAATATAGCCATGCTCACTTCTTTGCTTCAACTTCCATACGTACCTCATCATCCCACCATAACGTATTATTTTTCCTTTCATTCTTTCTCTTACTAACACCACATACTTCGATAGCTGCATCCACTAAACCTTTCTTTACATTTTGCCAAATATTCTCCAATTCTAACTCCTTCATACATAATTCATCCAAACCAGTTATATTTTCTTTCAGTCTACATTTGAACTTGTTTTTATCACTTTCATCTTGTAAGCTTTCTGTTCTAATACGCTGTAACGCAGTAGTAGACACAGACGATCGATGGCGCCAACGCCTGAATAGACCATTAATTCGGCATAAAACTAAATAATGATCCGTTCCTACGTTAGAACCCTGGTAAACTCTCGTATCTACCACTGCGCCCCTCAATCTTTCATCCACAATTATGAAATCTATCATGCTTCTATCATTACCTCTTTCCCAAGTATACATGTGAATCCTCTTACGGCGAAAGCAAGTGTTCGTCACAAAAAGATTCTTTTCCATACATACGGTGAGGAGACTTTCACCATTCTCATTTATACTTTCATCACCAAACGTTCCCAATATCCTTTCATAATTAAGCCTCCTAACCCCAACCATTCCATTAAAATCTCCTAGCATAATAATATTTTCATTTCCCCTACACTTCATTAACACCATCCTTACCATTTCCCAAAACTGCTCTAGGATATAAGTGGGCTTAGACATGTCTGTGGCGTAGACCCCTAATACAAACAACTTCCTTAAGCCCACTTTCATTCGTATCCATAGCAGTCTTGGGCTTACACATTCATACTCTTTCACACATTGGCCCATTCTTTCTGAAAGGATGATACCTACTCCCTGGCATGCCCGCTCGATCTCGTCTACACCAGACCAGTATGCGGTATACATGCCATGTGTAGTGACATCCTTCGCCTTCCTTTTCGTCTCATTTACGCATAACACATCTATTCCTCTATCATACATCATATCGCATACTTCATCCATTTTATCCTTCATTGCCCCACATACATTTAATGTAGCCAGACGGGCCTCTGCATTCATGCATGCTTCAGTTTTACAAACCTAATAATGTCAGCAGTATACCAAACCGGGTATATGTATCTGCTCATTATCAAATTACTCTTTTTTAGAGGGACACATTTATCACAGCACTTGTAAATTTTATTGTAAAATAAAGATAATGATTCGTCGAAGTTATCTGAGGTGTACATTTTACTCCAGTCTATCATAGCTAACAAGTGATATAATTTGTTAAAATAGTCTTTATTTAAATTCCACCGCTTACTATTTATTGAGGCTTGCGAGTGCATTGGTACGTGTGACGAGTCGGATAAAAGAAACGCGGGCGCAAGCGCGGAGGCCGGCGGCAGCAGTGGGGCGCGCACTTACGTGCCACCTACTATCACGGCGAGCGCGGTGGTACGCGTCCACGGGTTGCAACTTGCAGCGCCTCGTCGGCCCCCGTCAAACGCACATCGCTGCGCGCGCTCAACACCAGGTCCAGCTGTCTGCCCTTACAGTTCGGTACCGAGTTGTACTGAGTGACCTCACAAAATGACATAAAATATTCAAAATAATTGCATATATTACTATTACAAGAACATAAATTAAAATCTCCCGATAATATCATATTCCCTTTAAACTTAATATATAATTTCTCCAACATATTAAACATAAGGTGATATACATTATTTTCAGTCTGAGGTGGAATTTATAGTATACAACATGCAAATAAAAACCGGTTTTGTACATACACAGTAGCGCAAATCAATTCAAATTCATGAACGTCTATGGTAACGTTATCCGGTAACGATATTTTTCGTAACGCGAGGCGCGGTGTGGCCACTAGACATACGCCTCCCTGCTTACGGCCATCTGTTCGGTTACATCTAAATACATGGTATCCGGGAAAGAGCACACATGTAAAAACTTTTTACGTTCAACCGCCTTCAAGGACACAATAGACGAGTTTCCGCCTCTTATTACTGGTCTTACCTTCTTTTTCCCTTTAACTTCAGTCCATATATCGATGTCGCTGGCTGTCGGTTTCACTGCCTTATTGGCCACCGCCGCGTAACTAACCGCTTAGCTCGCTGCCGCCAACGTCGCTGTCAACTCGGGGCCAGAGAGCGCTGAACGAGCGAGCGCGGGCTGCGCTGGCCGCTTCACAGCTACCAGTGCCAGCGATAAGCTTGGAGTAGTATCAGACCCCAGTTTTGACACCATTGCCTTTCGTCACTTTGTCGATTTTCTTCGACATTAGGCTCCGTATTTTTTGCATTTTTCAAAATTGAAATCTGTTGGTCTAATAATCTGCATTTTTATTAGCTTCACTTAGATCTTGTCTTAGTTTACTATTTTCCTGTGCTAACACTGTAACAGTAGGTTTAATTTCGCTTAAAATTTTGGTCTCAAAACTATTCAACTTTTCAACAATCACATTATTTACTTTATCCAATAAATCTGCAAAGTTGATCATCTCTTCAGATGTCAAAGATCCTTTTTTGTCTAGGGGAGTGCTTTCTTCGAAGGATAAGTTGGATAAATCTTTGTCCATTAGGTGTACACGATCTGGGGTATCATCGGTTACTCGTATGCGCTGAGTTACATTTGAACAAGAACTGCACATAAAATTGCGCTTCAGTTGCTGTTGTCTGTCCCTAAATGCAGTAGAAGTAATAATTTTATGGGTAAAGGAAAACAAAGAAAGTATCTTACATTTGGTATTTTGAATGTACGTTCGCTAAATACCGGTTTGGAGGAACTTAATCAAAGTATCCAAATTAAGGATCTTGATATATTATGTCTTTGCGAGACTTGGCTTCATTATCGTTCCAATATTGACTTATGTTCAATTTCTGGCTACGGACTGCTGCACAACCCTCGTATTGGTCGTGGTGGTGGTGTTGGTGCTTACATAAAATCTAACTTACATGCAAAGCACTTGGATCACCCCCCTCGGGAACTTGAACAGATATGGTTTAATGTTAAAATAGGTAGTGAGACTGCTGTATTTGGTTCGGCGTATCGTCCTGAATCAGTGAGTGTTGGTTCAGCTATAGACTGTTTGCACGAGTTTCTCTCCTTTTTTATAGCGCAATATGATCAATTATTTCTCGCTGGTGACCTGAATATTGATTGTCTAAACAACGACGGCCTTCCATACACGCCTAATTGTCTCAAGACCCTTACTGATATATTTAATCTCCATCAAATCGTGAACCGCACGGATCACTTCTACTACGAGTACCCTGATTGATGTTATCTTTACTAGGACACATCTTAAGACCATTTCTGTGGAGGTGACACATAATGATGATCTTAGCGATCATGGACTGATTTCAGCAAAATTTGCGATCGCGATTCAAAAATCTAAATGTCGCATAATTTCATACAGACCTTTAGCTGAGAACACAATTGCTATAAACAATGCTGCTAAATACACGCCATGGGAGCTGGTACTCGTACAAGATAATATTGATAATATGGTAAATACCTTTAACAATCTCGTCATTGACTTGATGGACTCATTCGCCTCTGTTCGTAAAAGCACTTTTAAATTATCCCCTGCTTCATGGATGACTGATACTTTTAGAAAAATGAAGTCAATTCGTGACAAGGTCTTTCACCGGGCCAAAACTACAAAGTCGCAAAGTAGTATGCAATTTTACCGTGAACTGCGCAATTATTATAACCGAGTAGTTACTCTAGAAAAGCAGGCATATATTACTAGGTTTGTTAACAATAATAGGTCAAATTCTTCTCAGATGTGGCGTCACATAAAACGAATAATTTCACCTGCTGTAAAAAACTATTCCATACCGGACCATCTTCTTGACCCTGATTCACTTAATAATCACTTTACAAACACCATATCATATGCACCTCCCAACAAAAGTGTTATTCAAGAAATCGAATCACTTAAATATTCTGAAAACTGCTTGCTTGAAAACATTATTATTCTACGGTTATACGCTGTGTGAGGTTTGTTCTTCCCCGATCGGGCCAACCCATTCGAACTGCTGCTTGTTTTGATAAGCACGCATGAAACAAAAGCTTCAATAAGCATTTTCCAAGGTATGATTTATCTTTTAAATTATAAAATTAAAAAGTATTAAAACTTTACTATTAAAACTTATTATACTATAATAATAAGTTCACTATATGGGACTCTGGGAAATTTTCAATAGACATAAAGATGTTAACGACTGTGACTTAAGAAAATAGTCAAGAAAAATAATGGCTTCCCTATCGAATCTCTCAATCACCCTTTATTAAGGTAATGAAATGGATTTATAATGTCCAAAGCGATTTTATGTCAAAGTGCAGTTCATTGCCATCCAACAATGTTGGTGAGACAATGTAATTTTATGCTTAAATGAACCTCACTTGGAGTGGAACTCGCCACTAAATTTTGAATGGCTATATTGCTTGGCTCTGTGTCTCACACCTTTGTCCACAACACGAATTGCAGTTATACTTTATATAACAACAGAAGCGTAACAACTTTCAACAGCTATCTGTTCATTAACATAATAATGGAACTCTTCTGACTTGTATATTAAGTTATATTTTTACAATTGCTAGACCTCAATGTTTATAGCAAATTAGAAATGCATGCTGGCCAGGTAATATTTAAACTTATTAAGACCACAGAGTACTATATTCATATACAGTATATATATATATATATATATATATATATATATATATATATATATATATTGAACCACACACCACCGAGTATATATATTCGACTAAAAATTATGACTGAAATTGAGACAGTTATTAACCTGACCGGTTATGGAAGGTGTGTTCCGATATACACTGTGACCACTGTAAGGTGTGACGTCAACGCAGTATACAGTGAAACCGTTTTTTTTTAGTTTTCTATACTGGTTACTGTTTAAAATGGAACGTAGTCCAGAATACTGTCATCCCCATTTTTCGACACTGTTTTAAAATGAAAATATTTATCATGTCCAAGTATTCTGTTCAACAGAAAAAAAATGAATGTTAGAGTTTTTAAAACATAATGTCCAATTTGTAGCCGTAAATGAAACGTTAGTGAAAAGTATAATTGCTTCTACAGCAACTAATGCGACCGGAACTGATGGCATCTCCATGTTGATGTTAAAACTTACGCTTCCATATTCTTTGTCAACGATAGTGGCGATAGTCAATAAATCTATATTGGAAGGAGTATTTCCAGAATCTTGGAAATGTGCCATCGTCACTCCCATTCCTAAAAAATCAATGGTGGAAAATCTTTCTGATATAAAACCAATAAGCATTCTTCCTGCACTATAGTATCTAAAATAGTTGAAAGATGCGTTCTTTATCAAATTTCACCTTATCTAGAGCGTAATCAAGTACTACCTGTGATTCAATCTGGTTTTAGAAAGAATCACAATTCAGTATCAGCTCTTTTAAATATTACTGATGATATTCTTGCTGCGTCCAATGAAGGAAAGGGAACAATTATAGTTTTGCTAGACTTCAGCCGCGCTTTCGATTGTGTTGATATATCTGTTCTATTGGCAAAATTAAAATACTATGGTTTCACAGAATCGGTCTGCACTTGGTTTCAATCTTATTTCTATAATCGCTGCCAAAAAGTGCAATGTTTGAATAGCCAAGGACTTCTAAATGTCTCCAACACGCTCCCTCTTAATAAAGGTGTTATCCAGGGTTCAATACTTGGTCCCACATTATTCGCAATTAACACGGCTAACGTAACTAAAGCTATAACTCACTCGAAAATTCACTTATATGCAGATGACAGCCAAGTATATGTTCACACAACGCCAATTGATGAGGAGGTTGCTGTTGCTATTTCCAAGTTAAATAAAGATCTTGATTCTATTGCGAAGTGGTCTTTGAAATATGACCTGGTACTTAATCCCTTAAAGAGGGTCACCATTACACTTGGAACAAAGCACCAGGTAAAAACAATTAATGAACGGAAGTCTCTTGTTAAGACCTTTGACACCGTCATACCTTACGAGGGTTGTGTTCGCAATTTAGGTCTCCTCATGGATGAGAAATTAAAATTTGAGCAACATATTCAGACTAAAATCGGCAAATGCTATGGTTCGTTAAAAACTTTGTATAAAATTCGCTCATTTCTAAAACGTGACATAAGACTCTGTAACAGTTTAGTACTATGCCACCTTCATTATTATATCACAAAAATGAAGGTGGCATAGTACTAAACTGTACTGTACTAACTTTATGGTCCATGCTTATTTAAAAAAACTGTGAAGAATGTGCAGAGAGTGCAGAACGCATGTATGCGTTTTTGTTTTAATATACCGAAAAGGGATAGGATTTCACCTTATTTAGTCAGTAATGGTATTTTAAATATGTGCAATAAATAGTACTAAGTTAAAATATGCCTGCTTTCTGCACACTCTGCATCACGCAAAGTCTCCAAGATATCTGTATGATAAGATGTTGAAAAAAAAGTTTGCCTTCGTTTAGAGAAAATAGTCATCGGCTTCCACTACCCAAGATTAGACTCGCTGGAGCCAAGGGGTATTTTAAATTTGCCGCTGCTAAAATTTGGAACGATTTGCCACCACCAGTCCGGTCTACCCTATTTCCGTCTACCTTCCAACAAAGACGCCGCAAGTATAGTAAATAAATATGCAGATCTTTTCATTACAACAGAAGCAGTGCCTTGGCAAGATCGTATGATTAATATTTTAAATGAATAAATGTAATAGATAAAAATATAGTATAAAAAACTAAAAAAACACGCTTTTAGAGCACATCGAACTAAAAAGTAAAACATAATTTTTAATATAGGTTGATATTATTCTGTTAATAAATCGAATCTAAAGAAGTCGGTTACAAACATATGAAGCTAATAAAGGCATGTTAAAGAGAAAGAGTAGGTACTTACAACAGCAGTTTGGATTGAGTTTCTATATTCGAAACTTTCATTTATAAAACCCATTTCCTTATACCAAATCAAACTGGGTTTGTAAATGTCACTGGATCCAGTTCCGGATCGTTTTGAATTTTCCACTTTATTCTTTTCTTGATGATAAGTACTTCGCAGACTTTTGGTTTTATTTTTAATTTCTTTTTCAGTCAGACTAAATTCTTTTTGTATTTTGGTGTAGGCATTAGCACGTGCTGTTTTGTTTTTGTAAAGCGGGCTAGCCGGCTTCCAAAGACATTCGTAGTCTCTGTACAAATGAATGAACTGTATAGTTCTCTCATCTCCCCATCGTGCCATGTTGAATACAAAAAAAAAACCAACAAAATAAGACTTGACCTACGATTGTACGCCTACGATTACAACGAGTCAGCTACTGGCATGCCCGTAGCTGTCGCGTCTGTTCACACGTGCCAGTTTGGCAACCCCCGCGTCCCCACCCTCAACGGGCATGCAAGTAAATCAAATGTTGTGCTAGCTACTTGTATGCTAGTTACAGGCATGCTAGTTAGCGTATACACATGACAGTAGCTGGTACGTGCAAGGGGCTGGTATGCTAGTGTGCAAGCTACGGGCATGTGTATCCCCAGCCTTACGTAGGCACCTGCTTTGCGTGCTGTCACTGTCAATTGTCTATGGTCATAGAGTTTGTACACAAACTAATAAGAGTACTAACGTAAAGTTGCCGACACGAGTGGTGAGCACAGATAAACTGTGGTGGGAGGTAGGTACACTGTCGGGCAAAATTATTGGATACCTTTATTATTTCAATTAGTAATTTAATATTTTCGGCGACTTTTATGAAAATGTTTACTCGAACACATCAACTTTTACTTTGATACAGTAATGTTGCAGATATTCATATCCGTTATTTTATTATCTACTATAAATTATTTAATGTATACCTGGTTGTTAGAATTGATTATTTTATTAAGAAGAAGGAAAAGGTGATACGCCTTCCATAAAATCTGGTGTTGCAGTGCGCCGTACAGTAGCTACTGAGACATTAGTCGCCTCAGCAGTCTGTTTATATACGTCTATGATGTTTTTCGCAGTACCTAATTTTTTTCATGTAACTAAACACTGAATAGAAAATTTGTCGGGATTGTCTATTTAACATCGAATTCTTCTTTCTCTGCATATTTAGACCAAAGCTGAACAAATTATAATAACAAAAATAGTTAAAAACAATAAATAACAAAAACAATTAATAACAAGGAATACACAAACAACAATTAACAACGAGCTGACAAAAACAGTTAACGAAAATAAACTTATTAAAAAAATATCATTAAAATTATTGCTCTGAAGTGTACGGAAGCCGAATAATACGTTCGAAACCAATAAACGACGACAATCGACTAATGAACCAATCACGTTGAACGTCAGCGTGGTCAACGTTGTATCGACCAATAAAAAGTGTGCTCACGACTTATGTCGGCAGTTATAAGTTTGTGAAACTTTCTTAGTAAACTTCGGTAATTTAAAAACTTTTTGAAAAAATCGTTAATTCACTTAATTCTACGTGAATTTGAGTTGAATTTACACAGTGGTTTAAAATAGGGCTAATATTTCCAATATGGACAATCGATTTCAAAGCCCATATTTTTTTTGTAGATAGTACTCACTAAAAGAAAGCGTTTTGCAAAGTTTTAGGTTGCGGAAACTTACGGTTCATGAGATATTTTTTTTTAACTTTCATACGAATTGGCAAATAACACGCAATTAGAAAATAAATTTGACAAATGATTGATGTCAAACGTCAATTAGTGTAGGGCTCCAAATATTTTGTAAGATCGATACCAACTCGATATCAAGTATCGTATCAAAAGTATTAATACTACTTGGTATCGAGTGCATTTCGTTAATTTTGGAGACGAAAAATTATGACAAACCAATTAGATGCGTAGGAAGAGCTGATAAGTGCAATTATATATGTATATAAAGTAGAATAAAGTTTACTCTATTTAAGTTCCACCTTAGTACTTGTATTTCATTGTTTGCAACTTGTTTGTATTTCTTAATTAGTACAGCTTTTGTACTTGTATTTTATTGTTTGCAACTTTCTGTATTATCTAATTCTTACTACAATAAAGTGTTTACTTACTTATCTAATATCCAAAAAGTACCCAAAACCGAATCAGAGCACCCTACTATGCACGTGGTCTTGTCTGCCCAACCCCTAGAGTGTATATAAGAGCCCGGAGGCCGCGGAGGGAGAGCAGTACCCGCCCGCCGTAAGGAAGCGCATGCACCGAGATCGCCGTAGCAGCTGAGGCTGGTCGCCAAATGCGACCAAGATGACGAAGCTGCGAAGGCGAGCTCAATTGCCTGTGCTTTCCTACGCTAGGGCGGAGGGACTGCTCATCCCACAGCGCTGGAGCTGCCACGGAGCGCTGGAACACGACTTCCCTTTCTAACCCCCCCCCCATCTCACTTCCCCGCTACTTACCCACCACACCACTTCCCCGCTACTAACCACACACCCCCTCTCCTCCCATAAGCCCCTTCCTTTTCTTCATTTAATCCAGTTAATTTTCCCCTCCTCCCCCATATCTTCCCTCCATTTCACCAGACATAAGGAAACGAGAATAATAATAAATAATATAATAAATTTTAACCATGAATATCACCAAAACCATGGGGCTCCGCAGGGTGGGGATGGCACAGGGGGTATCCATCTCTCCTCCCCTCCCACCCTTAAAACCTCATATATCGATGGTCCATATTGGAAAGTTAGTCTCCAAAATTAACGAAATGTACTCGATACCAAGTAGTATTGATACTTTTGATGCGATACTTGATATCGAGTAGGTATCGATACATTCAAAATTTTCGGAATCCTATACTAATTGAAACATGCAGTGATTGACGTTTGACATCAAGGGTGTGTTCCGAAATACAACGCAGTGTACTGTCCAATGCAAATGACGTCATCATTTGACACTTTATTGTACTAGGCCGCCATATTGTGTCGGATATCCGGCCATAATAAAACAATTTTTAATTGTGTGTTTGCCGAATGAAGCATGCCAGAATTTGTTTCTATTTATTCAAATACAAAAAAAATTATAGAATAATTGATGGTATATTCATTAGGAGGATATAATGGATTTTTGGAGCACAAAATGACAAAATAATCGTCAACACTTTTCCAAATGGCGCAAAAGTATGACGTTATATACTGTCCAATGTTTTGGAACGAATCACCAGGATAGCGTCGATTCATGACGTCATTTGCGTTGGACAGTACACTGCGTTGTATTTCGGAACATACCCCAATTATTTGTCTAATTAAATAACTTTTAGTTAGTTAGTTCTAATTAGTTTTTCTATATTATAATTTCTTTTTTTTACATATTGTGTGTAATTAGTATTAATTGTAAATATTATAATTTCATTTCATTAATTAGAAAAAATGTTGGCCATTATTTGTCAAATTTATTTTGTAATTGCGTGTTATTTGCAATTTGTATGAAAAGTTAAAAAAAAATATATCTCATGAACCGTAAGATTCCGCAACCTAAAACTTTGCAAAATGCTTTCTTTTAGTGAGTACTATCTACAAAAAAAATATGGGCATTTAAATCTATGGTCCATATTGGAAATTTTAACCGGTATTAGATACAAAAAGGCGTTACAAATTATGCTGCCACCCCAGGTTTTGTGGCACTAAAAATAAATGAAGAACTATGTCATCTTAATACTGCCAAGGACTACCTAGCAAGTACAGAACAGGTTCTAGTAGGCATATCCAATGCAATACTTGAACAATGGCAGATGTTGCAAATAGGTTTACTCATTAATTAGGCAGCGGACAGGCCACAAAAACTTAACCCAAACACCCTTTTTGATAAAAGATCTAACAACAAAATTGCTAGAACTGACCGATCAGCTCAATGTGACACTGTTGGCGTTTTACCTTCCAGGGAGGTTGAACGGAAATGCAGATCGACTGTCAAGAGGTCGGCCCCTACCAGAGTGACATTTACTGCCCCAGGCCTCGGAGGCCATATTCCATCAGTGGGGCACACCCAACATACATTTGTTTGCATCAAAAAGATGGCTGCGTAGAGTACTATGACTGTTCTTGTTCTGTTCTGTTCCCAATGAGACTGGGAACTAGATTGGGTGTTCCCTCCACCAAATCTCATTCCACGGATGTTAGCACACCTCAACAAGGCAAGAGGGATTTACATAATAATAGTTCCTCAATGGAGACAATGCTATTGGCTTCCAGATATACAAGCGAGAGCATTAACAGATCCATTGCCAATACAAAATTTGGAAACAAACCTGATAGACTTGACCACAAATCTACCTCCTCCACACAGATAAAGAAGCTAACATTCCTTGCGTAGAGGGTTGGGAGTGGGATAACCAAGTAAAAGTCCACATTAGTAACATATGGTCCACCAATCAGTAGGTGGATTACTTGGTGTAAGACTAACAAAATAAACCCTAGGTCTCCCAGTGGAAATGATGTGGCCAAATTTTTGGCTAGATTATATTTAAACAAAATTTTTTGCATATAGCACCATCCTTCTACATAAATCAGCTATTTCAAATTATTGCGCTAACATTGAAAAAATTTCATCAAATTTCTTCATGCACCAAATTCTAAAGGCAATATCTGTTGCTAAGCCAAAACCTAAAAAACCACCAATTTAGGATATTAAACTGCTTTTTAATTTCGTTCTCATTTTTTTTTTAGTATAAATTCATTTTTTGACATTTCAAGACAAACTGCATTAATCTTACTTTTAGCATCCAGACGTAGAATTCATGACATAACTCTGTTACATATTTCAGAAGATAAATTGATACAAAAGGATGATGAGGTAATATTTTGGCCAGAATATGGATCCAAGACAGATTCTTCTACTTACCAACAATCTGGTTGGCATCTTGAAACATCCAGATGCAAATATTTGTCCAGTCAGACATGTTTATTTGTTAATTCAATCTTCACAAGTAAGAAGAGTGAATGAAAACATAGACCAGTTATTTATGTCAGTTACAGGCAAAATTAAACCCGCCTAAAAGTCTATGATATCTAGTTGGATTAAAACTATATATAAAGCAGCAAACATAGAAGCATCTCCAGGAAGTAGACTATACTAGTGAAAAACCCTTTAAAAAATTCTATTTTCGTCCACTCATTTTAGAAAATAAGGATAAATCTGATTTGTTATCTTCTAATTTTTGCCCAGTTTAATTGAATTATTTTATAAGTTCCTATAATTTAATTAAGTTTTTGTTTTAAATATATTTTCATACTGTCAGATTTAATAAGAGTG